GAAGGTGTAGAAGTTTGATAAATTTTGTCTTTGGATCTGCTAGGAGTGGTCAGTGCAAGTTTCTTGTTTCCTTCCTTGTTCCTTAAAAATAAGGATAAAAATAAAATTCCTCATTTTTATTGATTACAAATAAATCTGCTGAACAAAATGACTATGAAAGAACAACAGTCCACTATTTTTGGACATAGCTTTTGCTACTGACATTTCTTTTAATGTTTGGTTGAAAAGTACTATACTGTATTTATTTTCAATTTTCAGTTGTCACCTCCTAGTTCTAATCCTGCCCTATTGAAGTGTCAATTGGCATTTGTTGCCATATTAAACATAGCAGCCTTTTGGATATTTGAAGATAACTATCATGATCACTCTTTCATTGCCTTTTCTACAAGCTAATACACACACACACACACACACACACACACACACACACACACACACACACACACACGTCTTTCAGCTATTTCATATGATTTCATATGGGATTTTTTTTCAAACCCATCCTGTTGTGGTTTCTATTGTTTGACACAATGCAGTTTGGCAGCATCAAATAAGTGTCCCAGAACTGGCACAGTTCTTCCCATCTAGTCTGATTAGCACTAAATGGTTCTACCACTTTTGTGATCTAGACATTATTGTTGAATTCAAACTGAGGTGCTGTTTTGTTTTTTTAGTAAAAGTAGAAGACAGCTGGCTCAATTATTAATCTGTTGAATGGTTACGTCTTTATCTTTTTTACCTTAAATGCATGAATGCTTGTATCTTGCTTCCGTTTGGTTTTAGTTAATCTTGCCAGTCCTCTGCCAGTTATTAGTTTGATATAGCCCCCCCCCCTTCCTAATCCAAGCAAAGCACACACCTCAGGATGAAAGCTTATAGTAGTTTGCTGGAGATTCCATATGGTGTCACTCCTTTGTGCTCACTAGTTACAATTTGTGCAGCAATAGATCCATTAACATCCATGCATTTTCTAAGCTAGGAGGTGAAAAGTCTCTCAAAATAGGCTAATTAAACCATTGATAAGTAATGAAACATGTTCTGATATAATAAACACATAGTGGCTTTTAATAATTACTGCATTTTTCCCTGGTTATTTATAAACAACAGCTTAATCTGTTCCGAACTTAGACAGCTTCTCTTCTATCTGAAGCTGCTATATCATTCGCGCTCAGCTTACATTACCAGACTACTTGAAACTGTTGATGAAAAAATATATATATTACTTGTGTTTTCATGGGGAAGATAAACTAGACTAAATCCCAGGAGAAGGATGCTCTTGAAAACTGGTGAATTAACATTCTGTATTTGTGAAACTGAGAGTCTGTTTGGTGTTGTGGTAAAGGGACCAGGCTAGAGACGCTGAGTTTACGAGTTTAATAAAATTTATATGCCGCCCACTCCCATTGGGACTCTGGGCGGCTCACAGCAAGACAAAAGAAACATTTAAAATTTAAGAATANTATCACAGCCAACAGCCCATTCTTAACTAGCTTTCTAATTGGGATATTTTTGTCAAATATTTTGCTAAAGATCAAATTCTGTTAAGTCCACAGAATCCTCATAGCTAGATATTATTTAGTCAAAACTGAGACCAGGATATTCTGGCAGGGCTAAAATAGACTGCCCCAAAGTCACCCAGACAGCTTTGTTTTTCTTTCTTGGAGTTCTATTTTAATTTTGTGAATAAAACAAATTACTGGGGGGAAAAGAACGTTCTTAGAAAAGAGTTCAGGTGCCTATGTGACACGTTATTTCTGGAACTAATGGAACAGAGGCCACATTTCCTCATGGCTGAGAAAAATGCCACTGCAAATGGAGCCAATTAAAGCCAAGGCAACCATAGAGTTGAGTGGTTTATTGCTTATTATGATGCTTTGTAGTTATGATGCTTTGAAACAGCATCCTTTTGGAAAAGACTGTTACTGATTAACACAATCTTTAGATGATTGTGCATCTAAAATTGAGAGTGTCTCTGGAAGTAAGGGAATATGGGTCCTGTATCTTTTATCAGAAAGTAGATTGCTTTCCCACTAGGTAAAAGCTACCGTAGTTGTTTCCTGGTTGCTAAGTTGTGCAGTTGTGATATGAGTGCATTGGTTTCTACTATCAGAAAATAATATATTTGTCAAGACAGGTAGGATCTTCCAAAGTAAGTATGAAAAAAATCTGAATGTCAGTTTTGTGGTTTTTAAGACAAGACTCTGATTGAAAAAAATAGCTTTGCCCTCCTGGTCGATTCTACATAAATATATTTATTTATATATACATTTATTCTAAATCTGTTAAAGGAATATTTCTGAAATCAAATCAAAGATAGTTCCATTGGAATCTAGAACATTATCTTTCCCATTTAGAAATTTAATCAGCTCTAAGCTGTATCTCTTTACAGTATCATATTGCCAGAGTAGTCCAAAAGACAGATGACACTCAGTTATTTTGGAAGATGTCTACTAAATCTGCTTTTTCTCCACCAGAAGGCTAAGGCTAGACATTAAAAAGGGAAAACAGTAACTTCTGAGGGATCTGTAAATTATATTAAAATAGGAGAGGAAAACATTTGTTAAATCTACATGAGATACACACAGGATTAGAGCTGTGTGCATCAGGGAAGATAAAGGTTCCCCTCACACATATGAGCTAGTCATTCCCGACTCTAGGGGGCATTGCTCATCTCTGTTTCAAAGCCGAAGACCCAGCACTGCCCGAAGATGTCTCTGGTCATGTGGCTGGCGTGACTAAAGGCCAAAGGCGCACAGCGAATGCTGTTACCTTCCCACCAAAGGTGGTCTCCATTTTTCTACTTGCATTTTTACATGCTTTCGAACTGCTAGGTTGGCAGAAGCTGGGAATAATAACGGGAGCTCACTCCGTTATGCGGCGCTAGGGATTCGAACCATGAAACTGCAGAGAAGGACTATGCAAAAACACAACTGTAAGGCGAAGGGCTGTTAGGATGCTGTGCAGCCACTGAGCATCAATTCCATGTTTATGGCATTTTCCTTCTAAAACTTTCCCATGAAGGTCCATATGGGTCATATTCAGCCAAGGGATCCTTCTGTTCAGGCTAGATGACAGAAGGCACTTTACTCAGTCAAAGAGGAAAAGATCCAAGGGAGAAAGGATGGCCTGACTCTCGCTTTTGACTTATCTCAGGTTAACACAATACAGGAGCTGTGTTTGTGCAGCCAGAAAAAATGATGTCCTGTAGGAAATAAACACCCAGCCAAAACCTAAGCAACCAAATGAAAGGCAACCAAATCAAAGGTTTCATCCAGAGAGTCGCCTGAGATAGCCCAGCTTTAGCTCAGAGCAGCCTTTGCCCAGGAGGGATCCCCATTCAAACCACCATTAAAAAATAATCTTTTTTTTAAAAAAAACTTTTAAAAAAATCTTTGCTGCGCTCTGCAAAAGGGGCCGAGAGGGTCGCCGACTCAGGATGCGTTGCCAACCGAGCCACGGTCAGTTTACCAGGTACGGACGCCAGCCCCGCCCTGAAGCCCCGCCCATCGTGGTTTATGCAACAGACCATGGTTAGCCAAGTCCTGGCTTAGCCTAGCTGCCTCCCTCCCGGAGGGGGGGCTCTGGAGCCCATCAGGCCGGGCAGTGGCGCGAGGGGGTCCGGGGAGCCGGCCGGAGGCGCCCTCCTTCCACCCACCTGCACCAAGACGTTGCCCAGCTCGAGCCCCGGCCGGGCCACCCCCGCCATGGTGGAGCTTTCCCCTCCGGCACCCGGCAAGGGGCCGGCGGGGTCACGTGACCTCGCCTCCTAGCAACGGGACGCGCGGCTCCGGCCTGGACCACCGGCCCGTATGAGGGGGGGGAGAACGGCCGTAGCCGCGTGAACTGCACCCGGATCCGCTTTCTGTTCGCCAAAGAAAAGAGGCGCGGAGGTGTCTCCGCCTTGTATCTCAGTTCTTTGGGGATTGCGGGTTTCTAAGCTGCAGCCGTTCGCTGACTTTATTCGCTTTCTTTCCCCCCTCCACCGGCCGTTGTTTAAAATGGTACGTGCCGGAAAGGGCGGAGCTTGCAACGGAAAGGGAAGCGCCGGGCCCTTCAAGACCGCTGGCGTGCGCGATGGCCGTCCCGTGCACTTTGATCACCAGCTGCGCTGCGGGCTTCCCCGGGGAGGAGCTGGTGAAACGTGAGTCGCCTCGCGCCCCGGCCGGACTTTCCGCTCCCCGGAGGCCCTTTCCCGGTCCTGGCCCTGCCCGTGGCGACAGATGCTCCCCTCTAAGCCCCGAGAAGGAAAGAGTCCCCGAGCATGTGCAGAGGGCGCTCTCGGCCAGCAGTGAAATCCCTAATGTAGCCCTCTCAAGCCTGGATGAGCTCGGGAGGGAGCCTAAAGAGAGCCTGCATGGTGAAGGGGCTGGCCGAGAAGGCAGGAGAGAGAGAGTTCTGGGCCTCCCTCCGGCGTGGAAGCTGACTGGGCGACTGGCCAGTCCTTCTCCCACTCCCCCTGCCTAGCCCACCCCACAGGGTGGTTATTGCAGGACATTAGGCCGGAATATTAGACATGTCCCCTGCCATGAGCTGACACTGTATGTGCATATGCACACACATGTGTGTGCATGTAATACACACATAGAGAGAGGAGTTGCTTTGGGGTAAATAGATGGCA